TTAGTCCAATCATTCACATACTACTTATAATGAAATATATATGTGCGTTGAAACCAGTGTGTAGGAGATGTATAGGGTCTGTCTAACTGTTCTTCTAGAAAACATTTTACATTCTAAAAATGTTGTAAAGTAACTGTTCCAACAATTTTGGAATCAATTTGATGTCGGTAGACCGGATAATATTGTATGGAAGGAAACTCTTCTGGATTTTGTGAAAACGGGAATAAGCGTATTCACACCAAGTCAGCTCTCGGTTAAAAATAACATCGGACTATTCAGCGGATGTCTTTCGAGTTCAAGGCTCGCGATGCACAGGTTTAGTAGAACGGGCATCAATCATGTTGTTATATCGGGTATCTTTCCGTGAGGAACTAATAACGTATAAGCAGTTGAAGGGGTATACAGATCGGTTAAAATTTTCAAACCAATTAAAATTTGTGTGATATTCTTCTGCATTCGGGAAATAAGAGAGCAATAAGAATAGTGTAAGTCATAAACTACGTCATCGACATGCTTTATAGTTCGGGAATCTAATAGACGGATAAGTTCTATAAATGCAAGGAGAATAGAAAAGCTAGCAGTCTTGCTCCTAGGGAACTCTAACACGACAGGTTTATAGGGTGGAGAAGAGAAAATGAGAATGATGATGGGTGAGGAGTGTCTGGCAGCAGCCGTTCGTTGGGATGATTAAGACATTTAATGTTAAAATCACGGTTTAACAATTCAATGTGTACAAGAGACAATTCATATTGTCAGAAGAGATCACCTTATCTACTGTATTGAAAAATTCAGAACATTGAGCTCCTGGTGGATAGAAGGATCTGATCTTACATGACTGGAAGTCATTTGATCTAGCTTCTAATGTTTTATTGAGATGTCTGACTGGGTAATGTTCATTCATATGTAATCTCGCTGTTTTACGCGACAGATATTTTAGAAAAAAAAGATAAAATTTGGGCATAAATTACTTCTTGAGGTCTACAAAATTCGTAACAAAAATGGATATAAATAAAAGTTTGGGACCCACAGTAGAGAAACGAAAGTGGAAGACAGTAGAAAAATATGTTTACGCAACTATGTTTCCAAATCACACGCTGTTCTCAGGATTTAATTGATGTCTAAGTACCTCAGAATTGCGACCACCGATAACTTTTCCGTTTTCGAGGTACTGTTCACAGTTTGAGAAACCTTACAGGTGATTTGATAAGAAGGCAACCTATGGGATATAGAAAGAGGTACTTGTTTACAAAACCACGTTTATCCGTAAGTCACCTCTGGTCAAGAGGTTCATGTCAACGTCGGAAAATTCGTAGCAAAGTGATGATAGCCAGTGAATAGTACCACAACGGGACTAACTAAGAGACCATGATTCAAATTCAACCGAAGCTTTAACTTTCCCCAAGGAGACCACAAAATGAATCACTAAATCGTTTTTGACATTCGCGTTGGTTCCGTCAGTTAGGTGGTGTTATGTAAACAGCAAAAGCTCCAGCGCCAAATGCGCCCATTGGGAAGAACCTCACTTCTGATAAATATTCGCAGTGGCATTGCTGATCGTTACTTATTTCAGTGCTGCTTTCAACTTATTATTATTATTATCATTATTATTATTATTGTTAGTAGTAGTAGTATTGGGAGGTACTATTCACGTTTGTGAGCAGTAAGCAAAATAGTGCGGTTGGTGGTTTTCTTCATTGTCAAGAACTACAAAGACTACCAAGGGTAAATTGCCGTGTCTCAAAGAATAACTAGACTGCTCCAATAATTACCCGGTGTGCTGCCGAGAACTGTGATGATATGTTTCAAATGAGATTTCTGTTACACGAATACTAAATTAGTGATATCCTAACTGTAATCCGCAATGAACAACTATCCTCAACCGGGCACCGGTTTGTTAAATCATAACAGTAGTAGTAGTAATAGCAGCAGTACTGTTACCTTTGAAAACACTCAAGGGAAGTTTTGAAAAATGTTTGTAACCCAGAGCTGTTGACGAAAAGCTAATAAAACTGAATCCTTCCCGTAGGTTCAGCAACTGCTAATATGTAACCCTTCCACTGTTCTACAAGTTTGATGACAAGTAAATTATCTGAACAGGGGGTTAGGCGCATTAATCGCCCAACCGTTGTGGGGAAATGGTTACAATCTTTGAAGATCTTTTGAAGAAGCCGATCAAAAGATCCTGGGTCGCGAGACCCCTGCGCTTAGACGGTATTCAGATCATGAACGTTGTTACGAAGATGATCCAGATTAACTAAATTATTGAACTGCTAAACGGCTGGTGAATGACATATCGTACTACTCCCTGACATTCCAGTCGACTGGACTAGAAAGACCTTGTGACTAGATGCGGAAATAGTTATGGAAGAAGAGCTACACGCTCCAGTATTTTGAAGGTTTTGCCCAGCGTTTTATACTTGTTTACTCATCCCGGTCCACCTTTTTATTATTGTTTCTATTGTTATTATTATTATTATTAATAATGGTAGTACTGTTAAATACTGTTAAATAATGATGATTTTCATTGAAAAACAGTTCTCAAATGACAAACATCAGTGATAAAAAAACTCTGTCTCTGAATGTCGCGCGTAAAAGAAACAATATCTTCAATTCGTTTAATCATGCACACAAATACTGATCGTCAGTCATGTAAATTCTGTCTAGAGTCTTTGACTCTCAACCCGTTGGTTCTGGTTTCCAGTCCAAGCTGAAGCAGAAAAGTGGTTTGCACTGCCGATTCATTTCAACAAAGAAAATACCGCTGTCCAATGCTCCTGCTAACTAGAACTCAGATAAAATTAGAAGCATAGGCTTTCCATAGGAGAGCTGTAACAGTGATACGTTCTCATGATACCTCCGTAATGCTTCCGTCTTTGTTCTCTCACCTTACTACTGTATGACAGTGATATCGTTCAAACGGTTTGAATTGGGAGTTATGCTTCACATTGCCAGAAAATATTCCATCGAGAAACCACATGTAATAGTTATCACACACTGAGATAACTTTCTATATTTCATCGTAATTAAACAGACCATTTCAATTTCAGTCCTGCCTTCTAAAATTGGAACCTCATTTACTCTCATATCTGCCAAAATTTAACTCACATTTCGGCTAACTATCGGTTATTCTTCTTTTCTCCATTGACCAACTTCAGATTTGGCGTACATATGAAGCGTTTTTATTTGATCACTGGGAGCGGCTGTGATAGCGGTCGCGGTCTCTTCATTCTGTACGTTCCGGAAGCCAACAATTTGCAACACAAGTTGCTGAACCTGACACAACAACTGAGCGTGCAATCGACCATTAGTCGGCGGGTTACACAGGCACATATCCCGATGAAATGTTCATCACCCCAAATGAACTCCCTGTCCGAGATGATACCCAACACAGATTACTGGTTCCAGTCCGAGCCAGTTCGAAAGGCCGCCCTGTTTAGTCCGTCCACCACGGCGAAGACTGGTTCGGTAATTGGACCACGACTGGGTAGTAGTCCAACTCTGCACTTGCAGTCTAGCCCGATCCGGGGACAATCAGTGCCACTGTTGTACGAATCCGACCAACGATCTCAAAGCTCTTCACGTCTTTCGTTTGAGGAGAGAGTATTTGAAGGACGGCGCTACATGAATCGTTCCAGTCAGACATTATGTTCCCTGGATAGACCGCCGGTTCCGTCCTCTCATCCCAGTACCCCAAAGGCTAATGATGCTTCTGTTCCGAACTCGCCAGTGTATTTGGCTCGACCAGTTGTGGTCGACGCTGAGGTGAACGCATCAGAATTTGAGGCAGATGTCGATTCTAGCGAAACTAAACAACAACCGTTGTACGCAAATGTTGAACAGTTTGCCGGTGTATCCGACACAGACGAGAACAAAAACGTCTCTTCTCATACTACAGTGCAGAGACCATGGGAAAAGGGGTAAGTATTCGAGGGAATCATGTATTAGTTTTATCTTTTGTTCTCGAGGTCACTATTCTTGTTTATGTCACATGCATTCAATCCTGCTAACGTAAAGATCGATTGGAGAAATAGCAGATAGAGAAAAAAATAATAAGTTCAACGGTTTCCACCTTTGGTGATCGTTCTAATCTTGAATTTATTATGCTTCCATTAAGCCCTGTCCATTTGATGGTAGGCTAGCTATACCTTCATGTGTAACCGATTTAGTACTTTCTGTTTATCCTATCACGATATCAGTTGCACTCGAAATAAAATCATGAAGATCCCTTTTAGGATATAGTTATCACTGTATTCGAAAAAACATACTGTTTACGTGAAGTGCTGTTTGGAAAAGTCACCATTTATTCATACATATCTACGCTCAATGCGTTTCCGAGCTCGTCAATTGGCTGGAAAAATTTCTGCAGTAAGCAAGCGAAATTATCAAACAATGTCATCGTTGGAGCAAACAATGCATGGAATCCGATCACCTAAGACTCAGCGTGCAGCTGAATATCAGCTGTAAAAGCAGACAATGTATGCGTGCACCTACTGTTTAGATGAAATTTGTCTCGTCCAAAGCCAGGGGAATTTTAACGAGAAAGCTGGGAAGCATTGTACAGGTGATTCCAACGTATTTGTGCTCCTCAGTAATCTAAATTCGAACCAGTGATCACAAAGATAAGCGTAAGTTTGTTACCTTGTGCGCGTTTGTAATTACAATGTCTGCCAGACCTCCATAGAATCATGCATGATCCAAGAGACGTGTCTCAATGATTCCAGTCAAACGGCAATGGCAAAGACGGGAAAGTTTATTGGTGGCACCAGAAAAGTGCATTGACCAAGAGAGAACCGCGCTGTATTTATAGCATTGCACAGTGTATATTTTTCCGGAATGGAAATTACGATGGTGCCGATGGAGAGAACTGACGGATCAGACTGCTGTATTCTGTCTGTTGCTTGAATCCCTCGAATCTAGTAACATAGAGCAAACGCCGGCACTTTACCCGGATAGTGATTGGTCTCAATCCATTTGAACTCGATACCGTAGGGATTCTCAGGGGAAAGTTGGCTTTCCCCTGACAGTAATTAAGCAACATTG